TTATTTCTGCAAAAGGAGGATCTACTAAATATTGATGTAATTTTTCTGTTGGGGTGCCCAAATTTATGCACCTGCCTACTTTTGTTTAAGTAATTATTGCACACTTTCTGTAAATCCTATAAACTTCATTTCACTTCTTAAATATCACTGTGTTTGTTTGTTATATGATATATTTAATTGAAATTGCTGTTCCGAACAACCAATGATACATAAAGGAAAATCTTGAAAATGATCAGGGGTGCCCAAACTTTTTCATACCACTGTATATTGTGTTTACGTACAGTGTGATGTCACAATTCAAAGAGTAAAAGGGAGATCCTTTGATTTTATGATGTAAGAGAATTCACTGTGGTTAAAAAAAAAACAAGTTTAAAACATTTTTTTTTGGGACAAGATAAAGTAGCTGCTTGGATCAACAATCCAGACACATGGTGGTGCTTCAATTACAGCATTAATCTGTCTGCTTCTGCCCTAGAGTTATCCTTTTCATTCACATTTAGGAGGTTAAAACCTGTCATTTAAACGAATAAATGTCACCAAAAAAAAAAAAAAAAATTGGGACATGGAGAGGGGCGCTTTGGCCCAAAGGCAATGTCTCTGTCATTGGTGTGGAACCCCAGGGTTCACCTCTTGGGCAAGATCGAAACCCGGTTAGGGCGGTTGGTACCTTCCAGTGGACTCACCACCCACAGGAAGGTTCAGGGGGGTTGGTACGGTGCAGTGTGATTTGGGTGGCGACTGCTGCTCCCGCGACCCGGTAACGGAAAAGCAGATGAAAATGGATGGATGGGCCATGCAGAGCTAAATTTTGACCTTGGTGATTTATAGGTACTTCAGGTCTGGAGCTCCACCAGTAATCAACCCCCTGTACACTCGCTTCCCCCGGGACACCATTGTCCCAGGGTCCTTTGCCATGACTCTGACCTGGACTCTACCCAACCGTACAAATGGAGCGTTCAATGTGACCAGCCCGCTCCCTGGAGACTGGTTCCTTGCAGCACATTTACCCAAGGATGAAGGCAAGATCTCAGTCAAGGTGAGTATGGTCACTGACCACAAACACATGTATTAGTTTCACGTTGTATTTTTGTTACTTATTTTAAGGCTCTGTAATTTTATGGTAACATTGATCACTGGGTTTATTTCTGCTTTCTGGACTAGAGCGTCAGTTGGACAGGTTACTGCAAAAAATTCAGGAAAAGAATACTTTTTAACCAAAAACATCTTTGTCACGCTGCAGCAGATACTAAAAGATAGTTCACCTTATATGTACTGTATATCAGGGGTCTGCAACCTGTGGCTCGTGAGCCACGTGTAGCTCATGAGCCTCTTTGTATCGGCTCCCAGCAGAGAACAGGGGTTGATTTAAACATTTTTTAAAAATCAATAGTTTTACACTAAAAACTCAACTTCCTATCCAGCATCAAAAAAACAAAATGGCACCCTCTTAAAAGCTCTGCTCACTTTCTGTTGGACTCTCTGCGTTAACAATGCAAAAGATTTTACCATTATATTTTTTATTTTTATGATTGATTTTATTAATATTGATATATTGTAGAATGTGTCAGTTTTTCAGTTAAAATACTATTGTATAGTATAGTAGTATTTTTTTATTTTATTTCTATGCCCTGTTTTAAATTATTATCTGTTTTTATTTTATTTTATGTAAAGTGTCCTTGAGTGACCTGAAAGGCGCTTTTTAAATAAAATGTATTATTATTATAAGCGAGTACACAAATTAACTTAAAAAATGTTATCGGGACACGCTTTGAATTATTCCCTTTAAATCGACCCGAGGTGTGAATGTTAGTGTAACTGTTAGTGTGAATGGTTGTTTGTTTCTGTACATCGCCCTCTAATGGATTGGTGGACTCCCGAGTATTTACTGTCCTCAAGCCATTAAGTAGTAGAAAATGAATGAATGAAGTACTTTGGAGGGGAAAATACTTTCTTTGTAAAAGTTTTTTTCCCAATGATGAATTGGATAAAAAGATTGTTTTTCATATTTGATTACAAACACATCCGTACGTGTGGTTTTGTTGATTCCGCAGGCGACGTAATTTGCATTACTATTTTGACAATGGCATTTTACATGTTTCAGTCTCCTGCAGCTTCACAGTCTGTGCAGAAAGCAAAAGAATGAAAAGTGGGGAAAAAAAGAAAGAAGTGAACACCTCAGTTGTTGTCTTTTAGGTTCAAAGTCATTCATGTGTAGATAGACATACAACATTTCCCAAAAACCTGGGGGCAGGGGTTGTTTGGTCTCTGGAGTGAAACCCCATTCTTATATCTAGATTTTTTCTTTTTTTTTTTTGTCAGACTGCTCCGAATAAAAGGCAAAGAAAACTGAAATCCTGGCCCAAATATTTGCTGTTAATACTGAAAGTCCCAATATACTGGCTAAGTGTTCACTGGACCAAAAGGGCTGTGAGATTGGCATCAGTGCTCCTCAAGACTGCGAGGAGGATGAGGATGAGGCTCTAAATGTGTGAGCCGGTGTCAGAGCGAGGGGCCTGGCTGACCAGCAGAACGGCACCGGCAGCAGGGTTGGAACAATATTCATGGTTTGAGGAGCCATGAAGAGAGTTTTCTTTCTTTTCTTTCTTATCATGGTTTTTTTTCTTTCTCCATTTGTCTGCATGAGCACCTGCTGATTTCCATTTCAGACAATTTATTTTCACTACGGTTTCTTAGATCTGCCTCTTTTGTGAATTTTCCTCCTTGACAAAAGTGCAGCTGAAATACACAACAATCAAATCTCTCATCAAAGGGTTGCATCAAATTTTGGATACTAAAGCCCCGGGTGTACTCAGAGGCGCTGGGATAAGAATATAACCGTGGATAAAGTGTGATCGTCTGTCAAAGAGACGCGCTATAGAATGGAATTCTAAATTCTGCCTTCCCTTAGTAGTTTATTTCTTCTTAATGCATTCTCTACAGCGGAGGGAAATGTGTGAAGGAAACACCTGAGAATGCAAAATGCATTTCTTTGTATACGGTTTTACAGAAAAAAAAAAAGAACTCAGCGTTACGGTGTTAAAACAAGCATTGGTGGGAAAACTGTAGTTTCCAAGCCTTCAGTTTTTCTTCAGGGTTTTGAAGGAGAACAAACGGCTTCATATCAGGATGTCTCGGAACACAAGCTCTGACATAGGTACTTGAAGCTATTGTGTACCTTGGTGACAGGTGTTAATTCTACAAAAACACTAAAACACATCCCCTTCCGATCATAAGCAATTGCAGGTACCGTATTTTTCGGACTATAAGTCGCACTTTTTTCATCCTTTGGCTAGGTTTGCGACTTTTACTCAGATGTGACTTATATATTAAAATATATAATTTCACTTGTTTGTTTTTTTAAACTGACAGCCACTAGAGGTCACTCTAGGCTTGTGAACTACTATCTGCTACTCCTGTACCACTGAAAATGTACGTGTTCCTTTTTTTCACACTGACAGCCGCTATGTTTTTTTCTTCCTCATTATGCATTTTTTGGCTAGTGCTACTTATACGCTGGAGCGACTTATAGTCCGGATCTGTAAAACAGTGCTCAGTATTAGAGTTTTTAAAAAGAGAAAGTAATCCTTTGAGAAATTCTCAGAATGTTTTTGTGTTATTATGAGAACTTCAATAAATGTTAAATGTCTGTAGTATTAATGTAGTACTTAAAACTTCAAACACTACACCACTGCCGTCATTTTAAGTGGTTAAAATGTTTTTGTGGCTCTTGGTGGATTTCAGTTGCTGGTGAAAGGATAAAACTGACTCTTCTGTTGTTGGGGGCTACAGACCCCTGGTTTAAACTGGTTTACTGCAGTTTATTCTTCTGTTGATCTTTGGTGTTTATTAGCTGTAGGGGGAGCTAGAGCCAGTTGCGGAAGTCATTCGAAGAGTCCCCCGCACACCACAAAAAATTCCCCCAGTCCCTCACAGGATAACATATAGAGGCAAACAACTATTCACACTCACATTCACACCTATGGTCAGGTTTGAGTGAACCATAAACCTAAAAAACTTAAAATTAAAGGGTTAGTTTTCAAATATACAAAGCTTCAAAACTTGACAAAATAGCCATTGAAAAACACATATGACTCTGAGAATAAAACAAAGTTCATGTTAAACAACATTTTATGTCTTTGTTATGGGCCATAAAGTTTGGACCACATAAAACCAGTCCAAATGCCACAGAAGGCCCCAGGAGCCAGACTTTGGAATTTCCTGTTATAGGCAGTAGTAAAATGACTACTCAGCAGGGTTGGTTTCTATTATGTATCTGTCATTTGAAGGCAGTAGCTCTTTTATGATAATTACATCAGAGTTTGACAGTGTATGTTAGCCTTTTAATAACTCGTGCATTTTGTCCAGTCAGCGTTTCCTGCTGTCAGGACCGGAGAGTTCTATCTCCGACTGTAGACGTAAATGCTGTGATTCATAGATGCATCCTTAAAGGATCCAGAGGCGTAACAACCGCAGGACTCCCTAACAGCTCTAATTGTTTATCATACATTTTAGTTGATGTGGCCGATGGTGGTCCCTGGTATGCTCTGACTGCCCATATTTTACCCACATCCTAAAAAATATATATATATATATACATAAAAAAATATGTTAGTCACCAATGATCTAACAAAATAATTTTTCCTCAATCGTATTATTTAATTTGTCATATTGATCTGAATGAAATTTTTTCTTTTAAAATACCATCTGAAAAACCAAACAACTCTACTGGTCACAAATAAAACACGTCATGTCATGTGTAAGAATATGAATTATATTGATTTATTGTTAATTTTGATCATGAATAATCATGATTAATTGGTTACACAAGTACCATCTAATAAGTATATATATAAATATACTTATTAGATGGTACTTGTGTAATATATATATATATATATATAATACGCTCTGCTTATTGGGGCATATTCTTTATCCTAGCAGCAGAACCTAAATGCACTTAAGACAATACATTTATTATGTGTATTGTATCTACTGTAGATCTTTATTCACAATACGATCAGTAAAGTTGACTTCATTCACTGTCGTAATTTACTTTATTCAACTAAACGAACTACTTTCAGGGGCTTGGTTTTCTCCGACCAGAGAAAGTACGAGGTTGATTTTTTTTTATTTTTTTTTAAATTATGCTTGTAAAATAGTGATATGTTGGAGGTGTCTTCACTTGCACTACAGAAAACAATGGCCTTCAACATTTCATATTGGCTGTGTCCTAATTAAAAGTCGTCTTGCTCCAGGAGCGACATGTGCAGCTCTGACTGATGGGCGGTAATAAATCAAAGGGTCACCTCAGAGGCTCCTGGACTAATGACACAGCACAGTAATCATGGCTGAGGCGGAACGGGTTAGTGATCACTTGACAGGAAGGGGGGGGGGAAGCCTATTTGACATTCACACCTGTCCTTCTAAATGGGATGGAAAAAGCCCTGGGGGTCAAAAACACATTTTATGGCAGATCAAGTCTAGCAACAATGCCGATTTGGCATCCTGTCCGTCAGGCTCATCTCACACGGAAGTGCACATCGAGCATTAACGCTTGACAACAACAGGACTGCGCGCTGAGTGCATGTTCCGCCGTGCGGTAGACAATGGGAGGACAGAGGGTGACAGGCTTTATGCACACATTAGGACATTTCAGCCAGTCTGAGTGATATCCACTCTCCTCCTCCTTACCGGCAGTTAACCACTGAAACAGCATCTGAGTCACTGCTGTTATGTTTGCAGGGTCTGTCAGAGGAATGCCAGTATCTGTTCCAACCTCAGCTTATTGTCCAGAGGCTCATTGGGATTTTAGTGCTTTATCCTGGATACTTCATCAACCAGATGATCCCCAACAACAACAGATCTGCCCTCTATAAGTAAGTGTTGAAACAGAGCCTCCAAAATACCAAGGTCAGAACGATGTATTTACCCCCCCCACGCCTCTTTGTTTGATTATTGGAGAGCTGAGCTTTTTATTCTTCAACTTCTTCTTTAATTTCTTTTGATCTTTTCACCCTTCCTTCCTTCTTTCTAAGTAGGGTCTGGTTTCCCAAGTACAAATTTTACATTTTAGTAAGTAAGTATTTTATTCTAATTTGAATATTTAAAAATATTTATGACCTTCCAGTGGACTCACCACCCACAGGGCGGTTTAGGGGGGTTGGTACGGTGCAATGTGATTTGGGTGGCGACTGCCGCCCCCGCAACCCGGTAACGGATAAGCGGATGAAAATGGATGGATGGATGGAAAATATTTATGAAGAAAAAAACCCACAACTATGCACCCCTGAGATAAATCTGTTGAGGTACTTTAGATTTGATAATCGTCAGTTTTAGACCTTGATCATCAACCTGTCTTATTATTTTCAGATCAGTTCAGATCAGTCTGATATGAATACGTCAAATAAAAATAAAAGAAAATGGCGCATCATCAAGTTGTTTTGGATATGCAAAAGAAGCTGGCAACGGATTTTCTGAAGTAACAAAGTAATTTCCTACCAACTTCAACGGGGAAAGGACAAGTCTCGAATGTACGTGGTGACGCACGACGTAAATTATAACGTTACCAGGATGTAAAGTTAGCCCTACTTGGAGCTGCTTTCGAGAATATTATATGCATTATATTTTATCGAAGCAGGTAGTACTGTGCGACGGTAAGGAATGAACAGCTTATGTATGACATTTTTTTTAAATCAAAATACACGTATTTTGGCTGTGTGGTCAGTGCAGGTACTGGCAATCTTGTTAAAGTTGAAGGTCGCATGGATTCCAGTCAGTATCAGCAAATTATTGCGAACAATGTTCATGAATCAGTGGATACTTCAACAAGACAACGACCCTAAACACCACTCAAATTCTACCAAAGCATTCATGCAGAGGAACAAGTACAACAAGTACAGACCTGAATATCATTGAAAATCTGTGGTCTGTTTTAAAGCGGGCTGTCCATGTTCGGAAACCATCAAACCTGACTGAACTGGAGATGTTTTGTAAAGAAGAATGGTCAAAAATACCTTCAACCAGAATCCAGACCCTCATTGGAAGCTATAGGAAGCGTTTA